TAATTTTAACTATATATTTCATAAACTCACAATTTTTCAATTACATATCTCGTCAACTTTTATCAATTTGTCTCCTCGATATGCCCCCCGTCACCATCTTGGCTCTTGACTTTGCCGAGGACCAACACAATTATATCAGAAGGGGGTGCTTTAAGCTGTTCAAATATCTAATCAAACTCTAAAGGCAAAAAGCATATCCTCATCTGATCCAAACAGCTTTGAATTGCACGTGGAAATTATACACACAGTAGAATAGAACCCACATGAATTTGTGAATTATGGATGTCATTATCAATAATGTTATGCTTTTTTTATGTAAAAAGTCACAATCTGTTTGTCTTGAAATAAATTATTTTTCCTCAGAAAGTATTTGTTGAAAAAGAAAGTTAGTGGGAGAAAGATAGCTACACTACACCATTATAGAAATTAAATATGTGGTTGGCAACACTTGGAAGCCAATTTTTTATTATTATTATTATTATTATTATTTATTCTGGTTTTCTGATATTAGGGAATTAGTTCTATAAATTTATTTATTTCTTTAATCCATTTTCCTTTTTGACTAATTCTTCATATGGAATTGAACCACATGCTACGCTTGACACTAACCAAAAACTATTCCTGAGAAATTTAGGTCCTGTTTGGGAGGGATTTAGATTTTTCTACAGTAAATCAATTCACATTTTCAACCACACATTCTCCAATAAAATAATATTTTCCATCACATCAATAATTTTTTCTTTCTTTTCAACCACACATTTCCCATCATATCACTATTCCAAATCAATTCTTTCCCAAAAAATCCCTCCCAAACAAGCTCTTAAAATAAATCTTCCTTTTTATTAATTTTTAAATATATGAACGGACTGGATCAACACGAATTAATTTTGATCTTAATTTTGTCACTACATTACATATTCTTTATTAATTTAATCTAATTACAGAAATTAGAAAATAAATATAGACAATTCTGAAGAAGAAAAAGAAGCTTGAAAACTAAATTTTATTATTTATAAATTATATATAAATTTTGTCAAACGGAAGCATTATAAATAAATAGAATGATTTGTGGGTAAATGATAGTGTTTGTGAATTCTACGAAATATGTCACGAGACATATATTGAGTTAATTAAATCATCAATCATCAATATTTGCTTCCGATTAAATTGATTGCTCACCACTTACAAAAAAAAATAAAATTATCCATCCATCATCCATTTCAATGTCAAGTTTTGTTATAAAAACAAGGTTAATGACATAGTTAAAAACAGGTAGGACACGTGTCACTCACTGATTGAACAATTTTAAAATAAAAAATAAAAATTATCCAAACAGGTGCTGATGCATGCACCTGTTTTTTTCCCCTCTTGTCCCCAACTTCGTCTGACTAACTTTTCCCTTCAATTCCATCCATCCAACTACGCAAAAAGTCCACGTGGCGATGGAAATAATAAGCGGCTCCTAACTGTTAGAACTTTATTAAAACTTAAACTTTATGAATTTGCCAAGATCTTCATGTCAA